CCGGGTACGTGTGGACGTAGCCTAAATGTCGGAATGCTAACACAGCGATGAACGTAGCAAACATTACATTGCGAAATGTTCGGCGGATGCTACGGTATGAAGACGGAAAACATGGCTACACACTTCAACCAACTACTCAGTTACTTTGTAACAAAGTCTTTGTGTTAATACTGACTCGTGTTCCTCCTGCCAATGAAATCCCTGAGCTGATTTTCATGACATTTGGCTAATTAAAAGGTTTTGGCTCACAGAGTGTTTTACTTTAATTAGTGTCGTTAGACGCTGATAAATCCTTCACAGCTGTCAGCTTTGCTTTGGTCTGTAACAAATAAAAATATCAGTGAGTGAACAGTCGAAGTGGCAGTTATCCTGTTTTTCAGGGATATCTGTGATGTTTGAAGACACACCTGTTGGTGTAATTACTAATGATTTAGTTCAAAGAGCACATTAGTCAGTGTGCTCAGAGGTTTGTCTTTATTTAATCTCTTCCTCTTGGAAATTAGTTTTGAGCTTCAACTTTGTTCTGATAGATTTTATATACACCAAAGTATTTTATTATAATAATAAATAATACATATTAATACATCTGAAAATCATTACTTTGGATGTCTAAAGCATCCCTCTGTGTCTGATTCCAGGATGTGGGCCTGGACACCATCCCGGCCTGCTGGTGGTGGGGGACGGTGAGCATGACCACAGTGGGTTATGGGGACGTAGTGCCGGTCACGGTGGTCGGGAAGTTGGCGGCAAGCGGCTGCATCCTGGGTGGCACCCTGGTGGTGGCGCTGCCCATCACCATCATCTTCAACAAGTTCTCCCACTTCTACCGTCGCCAGAAAGCTCTGGAGGCGTCGGTGAGGAACAACAACCGCAAGAAGATGAGGATGAGCTGCGAGAATGTGCCAGAAGAGGATGAAGAGGACGAGGGGTCAGACGGGGACAGCTGCTGCCTGGACGATGATGATATTGATGATATTGAAGAGGACAATATAGATTATGAGGATGAAGGAGGTGTAATAAACTATAGTTATGTGGAGCATCCATCTTACACGTCGATAACGAGGAAGAAGGAGCCGCATCAGCTGTGCTGAAGAGCTGCTGAAGGCAGGAGATCAAAGCTGTTCAGATTCACTTCCTGCCTCATGCATGACGTGTTCATATGGAAACGATGACTGCATTCATATTTAATCTGGCTTTTATTTAAAACAAGGCAACACAAGAGTGATCTGTACGCTTCAAGTTTGACCTTTGAACTCATCGAGCATAAACAGGAGGACTAAAGTCCAGGAGGGCCGGGATTTGATCAGATTTTGGGGAATTTAAAGAAATCAGGAGTTGGAGGGATCGTGTTGTAAATTGGTTTTAATTATTAGCTTTGGGTTTCCATGACAAACCTACGTGATGGACGGTAGTTTGCTATTATTCATGCATGTGGGCAGCTTTCAGGGTGGAAATTTGTTCTTTCTAATAATGAAGTTTTTATGTAGCTGTTTAAAAAAGATAAAACACTCAAAACAATAAAATTACATAAGGCGAGATTAAACACGAAGGTCTGCTCAAGAACCGAATCAATTGAGCCTTAACTGAGCTGGACTGAAGAGAAAAAGCATGCACGTGTATGAAATGAAACGAATAAAAAGATTATGAAAGTCTGAATTGTTATTTTGTTCTTGAAGTAAAATGTATAAAGGTAACATTTGATTAAAAAAAAAAAAAGTTGGTCAACTTTGTAATTTGAAGCCTCAGTGGAAGCATTTTTGTAGTTTTCTGCAGCTAGAATAAGAAAAATTAAGCTATGTTTAGGTTAGCATAAAGACTGGAAAGAGGTAAACGCTAGGGTGACCAAC